ATCTGTGTTTGCTTTATGACAGACTTTTCATCGTTTAGCCTTATGTTTCTTTCCGTGTACCTTTTCTGTAACTCACGGAGGTTCTGCTCATGATCAGCATCAGCTTCTTCTCTTGTGTTGCCTCTACCCATCACCAATAGGTCATCTGCAACGCAGATTACACCGTTTAGGCCACAGAGCGCCTCATTTAGCTTCCTCTGAAAATTTTCACTGCTAACTTTTAGGCCAAAAGGAAGTCGGGCCCATCCAAAAGGGGTAATTATGGCTATAAGTAGACTGGATTCCTTGTCTAGTTGCACATGCCAGTAAAGCTTCGTTCAGAGGTTGTGGGTCAATACAAATCCTGAGAGACCCATCTGGTTTTTTGACAACAGCCATATGACTCACCCACACTGAGGGTTCCTCCACAGGTATTACAACTCCAATGTCGACTAGTCGGTCTAGTTCCTGTTTCACATCTTCTTGCAATGCAATGGGTAACTTTCGGCAGGGTAGTGCTCTTGGTGGAATATCTGGGTTAACGTGTAGCTTTGATTCCCCCAAATTTCCTAATTGGGTTGCCATTAGAGGTTACTTGGGCTATAAAGTTGTTATCATTAATGGTGAGCAGTCCCATTTCCTGCACAGTTTTCAGGCCCAAGAGACAACAGAAATCGTTTGGAACAACAATAAATTCAAATGAATAAAGGCTGATAGTTTCTAAAGAAACTGTTAGGGGTTGCGTCGGTGGGGGTAACGAAATAACATGGATATATCAATAAAGTTGAAATGGTAAATTGGCCACCGTAACGACTACAAAAGCTAACGATGCGAGCGTTAGCCCTTCGTCGGAGCGAACGGCTCCGACGAAGGGCTAACGCCAATTTACCATTTCAACTTTGTTGATAAATCCAAACAATAAATTCAACCTCACTCACTTGTGCATCCTTGGGATTCAAGAGTTCTAGGGTGGTTTTTCCAAGTGGGATTAACTTTGATTTATTCCACATAATCAATTTCTGTGAAGGGGGTTTCACTTGTGACTTCTTTACAAACTTCTGACATATTGTGTTCACATCATCACGCGAGTCTAACTGAAATCTGACTTCACAGCTATTAACGTGCATCAAAGCAGTTACTGCTTTATTCTGATCAGTCACCACATTAGCTAACCACTGTTCATCAGAGTCGGTTAAGTCACTCTCAGCATTAAGTGAATGAACTTTCTTGCATTTCACTCCAAAATGATTTCTGCCTTTGCAGTACTTGCATGTTTTGCCCCAGGCTGGACATTTTGTCTTTACTGCTTCATGTGACTTACCACAAAATTTACATTCTTTTAGGATACGAGGGGTATACTCCCGTTGAGGTTTCATAGGAAATTTCTGTAGTGATCTGCTTTGTACACCTACTTTATCAATTTTCTGAGCTTCACTACTTGCATTCATTTCCTTTGTGTTTCTTGAGGTGATTTCAAAAGCTCCGCCACAGATTTCTATAGCTTTCTTTAAGTCTAAGCTTGTTTCACGAAGTAATAATTCTTGCAACTTACCGGAGAAACTGAAGACAATTTTCGCCCTGATCATTCGATCCTTTTCTTGAAAGTTACACGAAGCTGCACAGGAATGCAGTTCGGTTAGAAACACATCAAAAGGCTCGTGGAATGAAATGTTTCAGAAGCGAAAACTTTGAAGAACTTCATTTTGTCGCGAGTTACAGTACTCTTCGAGCTTTTCAAGGACTTTCGCTGGATCGTGTTTATCATCTTCTTCATCAAACTGGAAATGATCGTACACTTCGAGGACTTGCGGGCCAGCAGAGTGTAAAATGATCGCTGTTTGTCGCTGTTTGTCGCTGTTTGGGCTTGTTGGTAGTTCCACTAGCTTCCATGTAGACTTTCAACTGACATTTCCATTTCCTAAAAGCATCTGCCAGATTACCATATCAGTCACATCGAGTTTTGGTGGTAAATGGAATTGAGCCATCTCTATGTGTAAATGTGGTTGCCTCGTGCTCACACTTATTCCAAAATAACTTTAGTACCTTTACTGAAATCTCACTGCTGCCACCAAGTTGATAAGCGCTGCTATTAGGCAGTGAAGAGCACTCAGAAATGAGAATAAACAGCTCATATGTTTTAATGGCGGATACCCAACTGATTACATGAACATGCGCATGCGTTGCGCCTCACTATCTGCTAACCAGTATCTCACGGACATGATACTAATTACATCAACATCCCAGTGTACATAAACTGAAGAACTTCGCTCATTATGGCACTTGTTACGTTTTTAGCTCTACGAAGCCGCTTTCGTTTTCACTGAACTCTGAAGTAAACATCACCCGGAAGTGAGGGCTGGCGGCGGTTAAAACACATCGATGAACTGGAAAGTCTTTCCCTTCGGCTTTGATCGTTGTATCGCACAGAATACTAGATTTCCTGAGCTCGTTGAGACTTTGAAGCAATTCGCTTTTGTACTCTACATCCGACAGACACTCCATGCCTTCTGGAGGCTGTGAAGTTTGTGAAATATTTCTCGCACTAACGTCACACAACCTGAGCTTCCACGATGCCAACCTCGCTCCAGGGTGCTCTCTCTTCCTCCTTCAGGGAGTAAGGAACGAAGTTGCCATGATACAATGGGACAAAGCCAAAATATAGAAATAGTGAAACATTCTTTGCAGGTTAGCTGCAATTGGATCAATTGCAGAAAAGCAGCGTGATAAAATTCAGGCTTTGACGAGATTCGAACCCATGCCTCTAAGATTTTGAAAAAAGAACTTATCAAACACCTTCCCATGAAAACGTTTGACTAAATTGGTATCAATTTAAAGAATGACCATTTAATAAAATGCACACGTACCTCGAAATATAAATTGATCAACGATTTATACTTTGGAACAGAATGAAAGGTTCGCCATTTTACGGTAGAAAATTTCAATACTTGGGCACCCTGTGGAGAAGCCTAAGTTTTAAATGCGGTCGCGGTCGTTGTCGTCACCTATCTTCCGAAAAAGAACTTCCGGCGTTTCTGCGCAGGCGCTGTTTACTTCTAATTAATCAATCAGCAAATGACCTCTAACTGCTCCAGTCTAAACAACTCACGAATGTGATGGGTTAGCGCCTAAACTCGTATTTTTGGGGGGGGGGTTCGACGATGCATAGAATAAACTGCAAACAGTTCGCATGTTAAGTGAGGATCGATTGAAAGAACTAAGCTAAATCCTGATGTATTTTCGGTCCCGCTTCGTGAGATTGCTCCGAAAGCTTCCAAAAAGTCACGGAATCACTTACTTGCAAGAGCAAACTTATCACTGTGCAACTATGTTTAGTGTTAATAACAACCCCTTCCCCATTATAGTGGAAGGAAGCCCAGGTGAAGACCACTGTGGCCTCTTATTAAAAAAAAGGATGGATTAAAGTATTTCACTGACACTAAAGTTGGTGCAATAAACAGTGCGCACAACAGTACATGCTTCTTGAAGTGATTGTGTTATTACTCAACACACGCCTGGATGGCCACTGACGATAGTTTGGCTGACGTTTGAGCTGGTTTTCACCAACAGGATGAGTTTGAATTTCGTTACAATGCTTAAATGTTGCCCTGTGGAGTTTTTCTTGATTCTTGTTTTTCTGACATTCTTTGGAGCATTTCATGTAACTAAGATATAAACCATTAACTTTAAAGATATAGGTCATTTTAAGGCATGTAGGCGGTTATTTTCAGAGACATTTGCAATGCTAAATTTATCAACACGGAACTCTCACTTTCCTTATAGAACGTGCGTGTTGAAGTCCTGGCTAAATGAAGACTGAGTTTAGTTGAAGCCGGGCCAATTCGTAAAAGAGAACTCCCTAAACAGCCCTTCTTTTTGAGAGCGGTAAGTTTAAAATAATTTATAACAATATCATGTTTGCTTTTGAATCAGTGCAGAAGTGATGCAATGGAATATAATTATATAGTACAGAAAAAAAAAGCAATGTGGCGCGTTTCTTAACCATATTATCATAGACAAGAACAGCCTTTCTATCGAGAAAGTTTCTTCCTGGATGTTCTCTTTGGTAGATAGTTGCCACTAACTTTAAAAAGCACATTACCCGGCTTTTCACTCTTAGTAAAATTTGGACAAAGGGCTCATTCATTTAACCTCTCTTAGTAACAATAGTCAATTGAAAAGGTCTTAGCGTAGGCGTAAATCGTAATGGCTTCTTCTGACTTTACTGCGTTCATCGCAAACGCGGGGAAAACGCACTCAAAAAACAAAACAAAACAAAACAAAAAGAAATCTAGTTAAAAAAAAAAAAGAACCTTAAGAAGAACCGTTGCTTTGCAATGGGTGGCAATTGACCTGTTCAAAGGGCGCTTTAAGTCTCGCAATTTCTCGTCAAATGTCATAGTTCACGTATCCGCGTAGTTTGTGTTTTATTCATTGTTATTATTACAGACAATCCAATTTCAAGGGTTTGCCTAAAACGTTTGACGGCCTCTTGGCCCTAAGCTCATGAGCCTTTTGATGGAAATTTCAGTGGCCCAGTTATGGGCAACAAGGCAAGCTCATTCTGAATCGAAAGTTTCTGTTTCTTGGTTTCAGCTGACACTATATTGACTTTTACGTTAAGAAGTGCAGCCGGTGAATTACCTAACAACGACAATGAAAGTTGGAAGACTAGACCACTTCTCGATTCAGTTTTGAAAAGCCAAACTAAACATAATAGTCAAAATAACATCAACAGCTCATGTTCTTTCGAGGCAATGATAATAATCACAACTGAGTAAAAATCACGAGGACCAATGAGAATTCAAATACAAAGGTAATACGAGTAAACCATTACACTAAGCGCGGGATAACTGGAGTGAACATTTTTGGATTGTTCCAAGATTTCTATCTGATGGGTTGAGAGAGAGTGGGGTAATTCTATGGACCACTCAGGGAGTACAGTGCAGCAAAACTAATAAACGTAGTATCAGATTACTTTGATACTCGGTAGTAGAATGTCTCGAGTAAAACTTTCCACTTACCACTTTCATCAACTGCGGCAGTGCGATGTCCATAGAAATGTGCACCACATCTGTTTCATTGATCACAGGGCGAGCTTTCTTGTTATAGTCTTTCATGATATTGTTTAATAGTTTCCCCTCTACGGTGCTTGCACAGCACACTAAAAACAAACATTTTGAACCCGTTGATTAACCGATAAATTGTAACCCCTCGACGTTTCTCAATCTTTATCATAGAACTAGAACTGATTCCCGGGCTCTTCCCTGATGTCGCTGTCCATCAGTTTAAAACAAACCCTCTACAACTTAGACATCTAAACTGACGACACATGTTTTTAATTCATAATTTGAGACGAGAGCAACTCGTGTTAGGTCTTTTGCTTCCAGGATCTAAATACAAATTCTTCTTAGTTTAATTTAATTTATTAGATTCGCTGACACCGCAACAGCTTGCGCCAATTAATGCGGGCCCAGTAAACCCACCCATCCCACCCCAGGGGAGGANCCACCACACGAATGAAATGAGTTAATTAAGTTTTAAAAATTGGAGAAGCATTATTTTTGTTCAAGTTGTAAGGTATCAGTGATTAGTGACAGAATATCCTATTTCAAAGAGTTGAAAGCTTTCTGAGATGACCAGCTGTCAGAATTAAACCAATGTTCGCCATTCGCTCTGACGAAGAGCTAATGCTCGAAACGTCATGCAACTTAAGAAAACTGTCTACAGTGGCCCATTTACATTATCAACTTAGTCGATAAAATCAAATTATTTGTTATACCGCCCTTCCCCCCGCTTCCCAACGTTTGGTCAGAAACCGTACCCACTTTAGACATTTGTCTAAGATTAGTCCCAGTCCCGGTAACAAACCATTAGTGTCGCCTATAAACTCTACGCGCATCATACTATGGTAACTATATTACCATTTTGTTACCATAGCTCGATCCGACTCTCTTTGCCGTGATCGTTAAGAAAGCGGTTCACCTCCGCAATTTTTAGCACGAACGCTTTTTTCGTTTGTTTCCAATAAGCGGGAGCTTGAGACAGGATGTATGTGTAATCGTCATATAATTTATTTCTGGCCCCAACCTCTTTCTACCACGTTACGCATAAAACTCCAAAATTAGAATCTAAAATATCTGACTGAACGCCGGATGCGTGATCGGCCTGAAAAATTTTGAAATCCGGCTTTTCACGTTTTCCTTAAATAAACACGCAAACGCCTTTTTACATCTATATTTTGGCTTAAAAAAACCTGTTTTGTAGGATCATTCTATTTCCTTAAAGGAATTTTAAACATCACGTCGCAAAAAGTCAAACATCAAAGTATAGCTTTAACTGTTCATTGGAGCCTTATGGCATCGACGGAAATGTTTTGGACCTGCTCGTTATAGCAAAATTGAAATGTGTAAATCTCGTTTCTCCATGGATGTTTACGTAGTTGATTAAAAATTAAACTTACCTTGGTTTTTCAAGGCAAAAACTATGCAGTGGAAAGTTAAGAGAAATGTAACACCGCTCATCTTGAAAGCATTCATTTTATGAGTCACTATCCATTCCAAAAATCATAATAATGTTTTCATACCCGACAGAGCTTTGGAGCTCTTCGAGAAATACGTCGTTCTAGTGTAAACCGCATAACAGGTGACCAATATGATACTTTGAAAATTTATTTGCTATTCAAATGAGTTGTCGAAGGGAACCTTGTGGAAGTATAATGATGAGAAGCGCTAAGACTGCGTATTGTCATAAATTCTTTTTGCATGATACAAAGCAAGACATACTTTATTAGTGGTGTTCTCAGAAGTGGTTAGCGTGCTTGATTATACAATTCATTGAAGGTCCGGGCCCGGGCCCTTGCCCTGACCAGGTCACCGGGAGCTGTTTTCTTGACCAAAACACTTCAGTCCCACAATGCTCCCCTCTCTCGCTCTACTCAAGACTAAAGTTTGCACCTGAGAACTCGGGGCTATTTCCTGCAATAGAGGAAATCCAGTTGCATAGTAATAATAGGCTATAAGACTAATCAGATTTGCTCTTTTTATATTGTTAAATACGCGTTGAATCGTTGAATCAACACTTGTTAGGGTTTCTGTTATTGGGTAATGCCACTTTTTCCCATAACTATTCCACCTTGTTAACGATATTTCCTGTTTATCTTTCCTGCGGTAAATATCGCTGGTTTACACACGAGATCTGTTTAAACATAAGACCGCTTAGAGGTCACCTAGCTTATAACGCATGACTTTGCTCTACTAAATCTCCACAATGAAAAAGTTGGAACAGTGCACATTAAGCTTTAACGTGTATGTGAAAGGAAAACTGATCTATTTTCGTATGGGGTCTTAAATTTACTAGTCACATTCTCGAAGCGTTTGTGACATAAAATTTTGAAACGTGATTCAGATTTTACATTTTGTACGGTAAAACGAGCAGCACTAGAGGAAACGAAGCAACTCATCGTAGTGTAATCCCTGTAAAATTCTCCAATATTCAGCAAGGTCAACGAGAAAAGGCAAATCTGAAACACGAGATTGCGTGAACTTGTTTTCGTTTTGAGTACGGATCGATATCGACGATACTGTTGCTGGAAAATGAAAATGGTAAAAGATGAATACATAATCGTAATCGATCGATGGAATGCTCACTTTCGCCAACTCCTTCTATGCCGACATCTTCTGTCCGATGCGGGAATCAATCAGAGTACGTACGTGCCATGATGGGACGAAATTGATACAAAGCAAAATTAAATCAGTTGGGTTAAACCAATTGAAGCCTTGTTGAATGATGAACGCGCCTGAAATAAATAATTAACAAATCATTGTAGTCCCTGAGAAACAAGGGAAGGCTAGTCCCTTGCAGTCTAGAGAAGAGAGAGATGTATCTTGCATTCAATTGCTATTAGCGTGACAACTAGAAGCAGCTGACCCCTTTCAGCTCTCTTTCACTTTTAAGAAATTAGACTACCTTCCCTCGAGAGAGCAAGAGCTGAATTTTCTTTTGTCAACACTAAAAGCAAACATTATACAAATTGATATTTTAAACATACCTTTGCTTTGTTGAAAATTTACTTCTAGACGTAATAACTGGGTTTCCGTCATTGTTCAGTATATTTTGATGCGGTAGGTATTTATATCCTTGAGTAAGCATTCTTTTCTTAACATTAGACATAGCAGGTGTCATTCTGTGACGTCCTTTCCTCCCTAAAAAGGCCACCTCTCCACGTTAACCCCCTCCCTCTTTCTCCTGACTTTCCTTCTATATCATTCCACAAGTGGTTTATTGTTTCGGTTCCAATCACCTGTCCAGTGTCAGACTGCTGGAGGTGAAGTAAAACATCATTTACAGACATGTTTGTCCGCCTTATCTCTATAAGAACTATTAAATTGCTCTTAACCACTGTTCTTTCTTAAATAACAAAAACACCATGTCGACTATTAAAGAGAGCAATATTGAATCTTTTTTTATCACAAAATTTCGATTTGTTGTGGAGTCATTCATGTTTAATCGTAAAAACGACCTTTGTTGTATTCTATTTTTATAACCTATTTTCATATCTTTATTAATCTTCGGGTTCTATCTCAAAAATGGCTTTAAAATAAAGAGTATGCAATAAATCAAGACTAACCCTAGAAACAGAATTTGGTTGTGTTTAGCAGAGACCGGCAACCACTGTGAATACCAAATTGAACAATATAGGACATTTATCATTTAAAGTTTAATGTTTCTGAAACAATCAGAACTGGCTGCTTTACCATTCGGATACGCTACTTACATGTTCGTATATCCATTTTCTGACGTTTTATCTCAGTTCTACATGAGTGACGGAATGAAGACACGACAAAAGCATTCCTTTCTGAGTCTATCCGTCATTTACCCTTATTTTAATTCGAAATGAAGAAAGGGCACATGAAGTAGGACCTCCAGCTATGCGCGGGCTTACCATTGTTCGTGTCCTTGGACTCAAACAGTAAACTCCAAGGGCATAGCAAAGCCATGATTGTTTTGGGAAACATCAACCGCTGTTCAACGCCTGGTTGTTTTCATTTTCGCACAGCGACAAACAAAGGAAATAGAACATGTGTCTTGTTTTGCACACTGGGTATCTTGGAAATACGAATTTCGAAACGATATTTTACTGATTTTAAATGGTGAAAATTGTGAAAAATACTGAACAGAATATGTGTGCAGCTCATTATGAATTTTTTTATTTATCAATTAGTTTGAATGGAATGCTCGTTGCATATCAAAAAACATCTGCTTTGCACTAGATGTTTACCCTTTTGAAAACCAAGCCCGTACGTTGTGGTGAGATAGGACTTTGTGGAAACAAAAATATTTTCCTATTCTGGTTTGATAGCTGAAGCGACACTGCCAATATTTTCTCCAGTTATTTCGCAAAATGTTCGCTACTTCATGGCCACTCAGTTAAAGATAAGGTAGAGACTCGCCAATCGAATGACAAGGATTTGACCGGGTTCAATGTCATTTACATTGAACCATTGCGCATTTTTAAAACACTTTTTAACGAGCCTTACATTAGCTATATCTGCTACAAAGTGAGAAGCGAAGCTGTTTTAAACGGTGATTTTGGAAACAGGATTTGTTTGAAATATTGTTCAAGGTGAGTGCCAATTTCGATATCGCCCTGGAATTATTTGTCTAATCGTTTCAGCAGTACAGCTTCTGTTTTATGACTTATTGCATTTGTCAATGGTGATGTTGGTGAAACTGCGCACTGAAATGTTGCGGTGCTCTTTACGATCATTCTTATCATCCCAGATTGTGGCGCTTAGAAGATAATACCGAATTCCCGCTAAACACGGATACAAAAACCGCATGTTCAGGGAGCGAGCCACATTGAATTCCCTTAAACTATGCACTTTTTTACGATGACCCGATGTGAAGTACCTCAAATGCTGGGTAGATTATAATAGAAATAAAATTGTTTTTATGGCTCACATTTCGTCAATCAAAACATTCTGTAGTGGATATATTTAGCTAGGGTCAAAGCGAAAGGAACAATTTTAGCTTAAAATTTGTGAATCCATGTCTTCTACAAGGAAAACCCGGTGCCTCTGATACTGCAGTCGTTTGTTACTCTCAGACTGACTTTGTGGCCAAGGCTATCGTGTCCCTGTTTTCATACAGTTGCAAATTATCCGTGACTAGCGCTAACAAGAGGTACAAACGCTACTCTAAAACAAGCTATTTATATGCCATCGGTTGGGGGGGTGACGGCATCGCTGTTGCCTCTTCGAACAACGAAACTTCGTCACTTGAATTAAAAATTATTTACCCCGTCTCTCAGTGGTCTCCAATCCCCAACTTCTTCTTCCCATCCTGGCCTTTTTATTACACTGTCCGTGATTCGTAAAGTTGGAATCAGTCACACAATAGAAGCAGAAAAAATTAAGGGGGCACTGTACTGATTCTTTTACCAACAGAAGTCAGCAAAGAAATGCGGAAATGCATTTTTATACGGTATACGTGACTGAGCGAAATGATAATTCCTGTAGAAGAATGACTACTTGAACCGTGTTCTGTTTCCTTTCTGCTCGATTCTCAAAAGCTGCTGTTGCTTTTTCAATTGCCTCCTAAACATGTCTTAAGTTTTTCGAGCGAGTTACCAAAAAAATTGTTTAACAATATATCGGTGGAAGTAATAAATGTTGTGCCAGATAGTTTTATCGATCGCTCTCAGTTGCAAGATGTTTCAGGAACTTTCCTCTTCATGAAGGACCCATACGATAAAGAACTTAACCCTTTCAGAGCTGAACAAACACCAGATTAGTCCTTCGATTACATCTCTTTCCAAACTACCCCTTTGTTTGTATCATTCAAAGTCTCTTATCTTTTAATTAAGGGATCATTCTTGGAAGGGAACACCTGCTGTCCGTTTTTCGATCCAAGAAATTGAGTTTTATTCGTCTAATCTGGTTCTTTTTTCTTTTATTTTTTTTCCCTTTCGCTAGTGTCCTATCTCTGAGTGACTAAAAATCGTGAAAGGAGAATCATGATTTAAGAGACCTGGAAAATTTGACAGCGCGCAGATCAATATTAAGCAACACTTGAGGTGTGTTCCTATTAACCTTGGTCGCGAGGAAAATATCTCGCAACCTATCGCCGCATGCCTTCTTGCAAAGCTCACGTGTTTGCCCGCTTGGAGAAGGAAAACAGAACTTTTGTTTCCTTCCTTTACGTAGGTTTACTTTATCTTACATAATCTGCTCCTTATATCAAAGGTCAATACAAAGAGGTTAAGCTCGCATTAGTTTGAGTTGTCTTTAGGACTTTAAACATTGTCGCTATTTATTAAAAAGGTAATGTTGAGTTAGAATGGTTAAGCATCAAAGTTAAGGGGTCCTGAGAGTTTATTGAAATAAACAGTGTTCGCGTACTTGTAAAATTCAGGCGAGTCATCGAGATACAGCAATCGCCCCTAACTTTACAGAGGCTAGAATACCAATGTATGTGGCTGATAGGAAAAATATTGCTCGGAAAAAAATGCCCAACATTTTTTTGGTGGAGTATGGAGTGAGACAACTTATGGTGAGAAATTTGGTCAAAATTTCTTTCAGATGATTCAGGGATTATCTACAGATTTATTTATT